GTAATTATATGTTAAAATTGGAATAAGACTACGTTTAAGTACATACAAAAATAAAATTAAGACAAATAAATAAAGAGGAAAAAATACTAATTTTATAATGAATAAAAAGGGTATCTACTTAAATTAACATAATACGTAAGTTAGTTAATTTATCATTCTTGGAACAAAATTTTTCTTTCTATTTTCTTTATATTTTTAAGATTTAAAAATCACATTATTTATTGATATTATTATTTTAAATTATATTTTTATCTTCACTTGGCATCTAAACTTCAAAATCTAAGAAAAGATTAAGCTATTAACTATATATTAAAATTAAAAAATAAATTAAAAGAGCATTAACAATAATAGCATTAATTAATTTTTTCATATATTATGATTATAAATTCCTGACAGGCCCAGACCGGCCTAACAGGCTTTTTAAAAAGCCTAAGCCTGGCTTCTTTAACTAAACAGGCCTTCAAACAGGCCTGAGCCCGTCTTTTTTAGGAAACAGGCCAGGCCAAATGCAGGCCAGGCTATAGGCCCCTGACAGGCCGCCTGGCCTGTTTCCACCCCTAGTCAAGGGCTTAAACGAGTAGGCCTGTTTGAGCCTTTTTTTTAGTTTTTTAGTTTTTTTTATTTTTGTGTAATTATAATATTATTAATTTTTTACATAGTTAATGATATTTCAAATATTTAGTTATTATTATCATTTTAAAATTAAATTTCATGAAATAGTTTGATTTATTTAGTTTTAGACAATAATTTGTTCAATTAAATTTTTAAAAAAGGGTTAATTTGGACTTTAATAATGATATGATTTATATTATATGTGTTGATATTTTAAAATTATATATATTTGATAAGAGAGTGTTTTTATACTTATGTAACTTGTGATTCTATAATTTGAATTATAAATTTATGAGTTTGAACAACAATGATTCTCAAACTAAAATAAAATAATAACTAGACTGCAAAATTTAAAAATAAAATTCTTATAAAGAAGAAAAATTTGATATTTTTATTACGAAAGAAAAGCATGTTTATTAGGAAGAGTAATTGATTATAGTGATGATAAAGTTTCAAAAGGTTAACGATAGTGTTTGTTTATTGCACATTTGCACTATAAATTAAACTTTTGGATGTTGCTATCTTGTTAATGAATGTTTTAGATATTTTTGGATGTTAATGAATATTTATATATGATGATATTTTGTATTGATGATTTAATTTTATTCATATTTATATCTTTTATAATAATTTTATTGGTTTATTTTTATATTTTTAATAAAAAATATGAAATAGTATTTTTTCCTAAACGGGCCGAAGCCCGCCAGCCAACCTTAAACCAATTAGCTGAAAGGTCGGGCCTAACAAATTAAAGTATTTTTAAAATTTCGGACTTGTAGTGTCGGTCCTGCCCGTATTCCCACATTTACATAGCAAACTTTATCTTTTTGGGACTTATTAAAATAAGTTATAAACAGTTTTTTAATTGTGATTTATAGAACATAAAATAAGTAAATAATTTTTTTTATATTTCAACTTACATAAACATATTTATAAATACTTATAAATTATAGATGTAAACATGATCTTCTCGCAGTTCAAAAAAAAAAAAAATCTTATCGAGCGTGAAAGAAAAAGTAAAACTTACCGGTGGCCCGTTTAGAATCTGTTGGCGACGGCACTTTGCCTAGCTCTCATGAGGAATTGATTTATTAAACCAAGCATATGATTTAATTAAAATTTATTTATTTATTTATTTTTAAAAGTATAAATTTATGTTACTATAAATAATTAAACATAAAAATATATTATTTAATTCAAATATTATTTTAGCTTCACGACTCTCAGAAGGCCACTTTACGTGGTTTCATTGTCAACTACATTTTCATCAAAATCGTTTGTCTTTTTATATGTGTGTGTGTGTGTGTAAGACAATTAATAGCGCACGTATAAATATGCTAATGCCAAACTTAAACCCAAAATTCCATTCAAATGTGATGAATGATACTGCCACTGAGACAATTATCCGTTGACAAATCGCTGGTATTTTTGCTTCGCTTTGTTGCTAGTGGACTGGGTTCAGTTCATTTTATTTTATTGAGTGAATCATTTTATTTTAGTGTTAAACATTCAGTGACCAGCATTTGTTCTCGTTGCAATAAGATGGCAGTGCTCGTATAAAAGTTATTACATTTTCATCCTTATTTAAATTAATGACATTTTTCGTTCTACTGTATTTTATGACTTTGAAAGTGAAAGAATTGAACATATGTGTTTTGTTATAAGCCATTGCAGTGTTTTCCAAACTATTTAATAAAACTATTTAAACACATCCATCAACACACACGTGCGCGTTGTGCGTGTTTTAACGTAAATGTAACAGAAGTTTACATAAGAGTTACCACCTCCGTTTTCTAATACTACTTCTAATCTTTAATATAAGATACTGTTTAATTTTTATTTTGGTCCTAAATATAAAACCTCAATTCACTTTGTCTCACATATTTATATATTTTTTTTCAAAGTAGTCCTTCTAACAATGGCAGTTCTAGCCAATACACTTGATTAATAAGGATATTTTAAAAAAGACAATATCTATTTAGGACAAATAACCAACTCAACTTATTTCTTTAATTTCCTCAAATTAGTCAACTAGCTCTTATAATTAGGACTGAAGGTAGTATAAAAATTCATTTGATTTTTATTTTGATTCTAAATATAAGATCTAAATCTACTTTATTTTTTATATTTATCTAATTTTTTTAATATAGTCCTTCTAATAATGACAGTTTAAGCTAATACACTTAATTAGCAAAGATATTTTAGGAAAGATCACATATTTATTAGAAATAACTAACTTAAGTAATTTTTTTAATCTACTCAAATTAGTTAACTAACTCTTATATTAAGAACCGAAGTCCGAAAGTAATATAATAACTTGTTTGACTTTTATTTTAGTTCTAAATATAAGACTTTAATTCACTTTATCTTTCATATTTATCTATTTTTTTAAAATAGTCATTATAACAATGATAGTTCTAACCAATATACTTGATTAACAAGGATATTTTAGAAAATACAATGTTTATTTATTACAAATAACTAACATAACCAGTTTTTTTAACGTACTCAAATTAGTTAACTAGCTATTATATTAACGGTACGAGATAATATTAATTGAATAGTCATTTATATATGTCTTTGGACATGTTTTTTTGCACGCAATGAATTGAAGTATATTTTCAGATAAATTCAAAATACATCACATCTGATGGCAAAAACTGAAAGGATGGCATTATAGAAATGAAAACCCCCGGAGGGGGGGGGGTTTGCGGCTCGCAATGACATACTTTGAACACCAACCAATAAAATTGCAAAATAATTAAATCTTATTTATATGGAAAATATATTACTTTTCATGATAATCATAGTTTATATGAACATGATAAGATTTTAAAGGAAACTGTAATAAAACTGCATGAAAGAAAAGGAGAAAAAACATATAATAATAGCATAAAATAGAGAAATACTAACTTTAGTCCTTAATATAAGAACTAATTGACTAATTTGAGTAGATTAAAAAAGTTTGTTAAGTTAGTTATTTGTAATTAATAAATGTTATCTTTTCTAAAATACCTTTACTAATCATATATACTAGCTCTAATGCTAATTATAAGAGCTAGTTGACTAGTTTGAGGAGATTAATAAGAGAAGCTGAGTTAGTTATTTGTAACAAATAGGTGTTTTTTTCCCAAAATATCCTTACTAATCAAATGTTTTGGCTAGAACTACTATTGTTAGAAAGATTACTTTGGAAAAAAAGTATAAATATGAGAAACAAAGTGGATTAGGATCTTATATTTATGACCAAAATAAAAGGTAAATAAGGTCTTATATTAAGGACCGGAGGTAGTATTAACTAAAACTGTCATTTGATGAAACTTTTAATACATACAACTATTATAATAATTACTTTAAAAAAATAAATAAACATAAAAAATAAAGTAGATTAAGATCTTATATTTAAAATTAAATTAATTATCAAAATTGCTTTTACATCAACCAGTATAAGGAATATAATATAGATATGCCTCGAGATTGTAATATACGAGTAATTTCAAATAATTAAATTTAAGTGAATCCAGATATTAATTAATTAATAGTATAAAAGATAGAGGAAGCAAACCATGCATGGTTGTGAACGTAAGTTCGCATCGGAGTCTGATCCGAACCGGATGTTCAGAGGAGATCTTTGAAGTTTGAATCCACTTGGGCAAAAAAAAGAAGAGAGGGAGAAAAGAAGAAGAAAGAAAGAACAAAGAAGGAAAGAAACCATCGAGCCAGAAAGAGGCCGTATGTTCAATATTGTAGAATTGTTGGCCAAAACGAAATGTCGTCGTATTGACTCTGACAATTCTCAATATGTCGTCCTTGATGGGGGCCACGGGAATCGGCAGAGAACCGCTCACACGTGGCGCGCTCGCGCTTGATGAGCTGTCAACGGAAGAAATTGGCTGATTTAGCTCGCGCCGAACTTGTCAATAAACTGATGAAGCCGGTGGACCCCATCATTGCCGGTTATGAAGATTGAGGCACGATCATCTGCGTTTGTTAGTGAGGATCCTCAGACACCAGGTGCTTTTTCAGGTAGCGCCACTCTGTCAACCTCTCTTTCCAATCTTAGCTCTGCTTTTTCCTGGTTCTGAAATCTTAAGTAATCCACGAAGGATTCCATTTTTAAATGAATCTTCCTGGTTTCTTTAAATCTATGGATTTTGTGTTTTGTAAATAACCTGTTCTCACGACTTGATTTGGTGACGTGCGTGGCCTATATATATATCGTTGTTTTTGTGGCCTTTTGAATAACAAATTTGAATGTGTCTTTGTTTAACCGGCGACATCAAAAAAAAAATTCTTAGAACCTGTTGGATATTCATACAAGTGCGCAAAGTTCTGTCCTCACCTCAAGTTTTGCACTCATTCCTCCGACTAGAGTGGCATCCGATATCTCCAAAAAATAAACTCATCAAATGTTCACGCTTCCTACTCGCTCTGCGTGCGCCCTGCCATTCTTAAGAAACCATCAATTCAGAGTGTGTCCCCCTGGTAGCATCAGAGAAGACAATCTCTGTGTTTCAAATAAATCATGTGCGAGCAAGAGGAAGTTCTTTAGGAACCGGTTGCGTTCTTACAGATCACCAGTATATGAAAGGCTCCACCTTTGGCAATCGGACCGGCCGGGGCGGTCGCCAAGGCTCAGGGTCGTTGTTCGGTCGGCATTATCAGGTGTGCCGGAGAAGCCGCTTGGTCTCTATGACCCTGCCTTTGATAAGGACTCTTGTGGGGTTGGGTTCGTTGCGGAATTATCCGGCGAATGCAGTCGTAAAACGGTAAGGATGGTTTGATTTTATGTACTTCATTTGGATATGTGGATTCATGTTGATGGTTGATGAACTCATGGTTGATTTTGTTTATTACAGGTGACTGATGCTATGGAGATGTTGCTACGTATGTCGCATAGAGGTGCTTGTGGGTGTGAGCCCAATACTGGAGACGGAGCCGGTATTCTCGTGGCTCTGCCTCATCAGTTTTACAAGGAGGCATGTATATTTTTTCCCCCAGAAAGAAATGTATTTTTAAAGAGTTCATTTTTCATGTTCTTGACTTTGAGGTTGGTGATTGGTCTTACTGTTTCCAGATTTGGTTCTTTTGATTTATCAGGAAGCAGTAACACGTATTTTAATTTGTTTGAGTTGATCATACTTCGTTTTGGCTTTTACTGAGGCGTGTGAGCTTTATATTTGGATGTATTTTCATTTCATAATCTAATCTGCTTCATGCAGTATTTATTTATTTTCTAAAAACCACTTATCACCCTTAATATTAAACTGATGCGGAAATCTTTCCCCCCAGTACAAATAAAATTCTCCACCTTCGTAATAGTGGATCCTCACCATTTTTATTCTCTTTTATTTCCATTTGTGAATGCAAAGTTTTTGTTCGAAATGGACCCCAATATCAGCTTCCCCACTAAACGGAAAGAAGCAGGAATTTTTTCGAGAATCACTTAGAATATCAAGCTGGATCAGTTTTGACCGATTGGCATATAGCTGGTGTTTGTTCGAGTAAATATATGACGGGGTTTATTTTCTTGTAGGTCGCCAACGATGTGGGATTTGAGCTTCCACCGCCTGGACAATACGCTGTTGGCATGTTTTTCTTGCCCACATCAGATAGTCGCAGAGAAGAAAGCAAAAATGTATTTACAAAGGTATTTTTTATTCTAAATGCAAAGTAAATATGTTTTTTTTTTTTTAATTTTGAAATTATCAGTTTATCCAAAAGCCTTTATTGAAACCTCTGCTCCAGAGGTATCTTATCATGTCTTTAACGTTCCCCTTGGTTTGCTTATTTATGCGTCGGGTTGTCAAGGGGGGGATTTTATTTTCTCTGTCCTACCATATCATAATGGTGATCATCTTTAGCAAGAAGTTCATTCTATATTATTTTGTTTTATATGCATTGTGCTGTTATGCTCGTTGTGATTTTTGATTCAAGAAACATTTTCTTGAAAATCTACTTTGATATGTGAAGGTTGCGGAATCTCTTGGACACTCTGTCCTTGGTTGGCGTTCTGTGCCCACAAATAACACTGGACTGGGCAAATCAGCCCTGCATACAGAACCAGTTATTGAGCAGGTGTTTCTGACTCCTAGATCCCAGTCGAAAGTTGATCTGGAAAGACAGGTACTTTCTCTACTATTCACATAAGTGCCAGGGTACTTTTTCGTCAAAAATTATGAAGATATGGTTGGATCAATGCTCCATTTTCGTGACAAAATGTTCAATAAAACCTGGAATATTGTTGGAAAACTAACCTACGTCGGTATATATGTTTTAGACATTTCTTAGAATACAGACAACAGTTGAATTCATTTCTTGACAAGCAAGTGGTTATGGAATTCTCAGCTGAAATTATTTTATATATTTATTTCATGAATTATAATGGAATTTTTTCATGCTCAATGTATTTCTGGTTCCTATATTGCAGATGTACATATTGAGGAAGCTCTCCATGGTTGCTATTGAGTCTTCCTTAAAACTTCAAAATACGAGTGATACAGATTTCTACATCTGTTCACTTTCATCAAGGTGTGTTAACTAATGCCACATTCAGCACATATAATCTAGAAATGCCTCAAAGAAAACTTCAAGGCACTTTGGTTTTTATTATGTCGTATGAGAAATTATCAGTTCTCATTGTCACTTTCTTGTACAATATGTGCAGGACTGTTGTATACAAAGGTCAGTT